TACATTTCCATTTTTGGAGTTAGAGAAGGATCTACAAGGACAATAAAAAGTTGTGGGACTAGGTGTCTTGCACTATAGAAATAAATTTTTGTGACATGTCCCATGACTGATAAATAATGTATGCGTTTATATTGATCAATCAAATAATTTCTTTTTGTTTATTGTAAGAATGGTGGTGATGGTTATTGCCAGAGTCTATACAGGTTCTGTATTCCGTATATCTGCACTTCTGTAGTAAATCATGCTCTGCATGGAACAAAATATGGAATCAAGATTGTACAGACTGGCCCTCCACCAATCAACTTTTCAGAATTCACAAATTCCATACAAAAATTTAATATTAATATTAAAAAAAAAGTGTACGGAACAAAAAAAAATAGTGTACGGAATTGAAAGTTGTATGGAATCTCTACTAACTGTTATTGCCACCACTCATCACTCTAGTTTAATATACAATCTGTATTTTACAATAATTAAAATACTTGTTAATTTGTACACATTTATTTTTTTTTTTCAAATTAAACATTTATTAAAAATGTCATCAAGAAATACAAATAAAAGAAATACAGAAGAAATACAACAAGCAGTTTCTAGGTAAGTGTTTATCATAAGGATGGTGGTGGTTATCACCACTCATTGTCACTCTAGTTATATAAATTCAAATGCTTGAACTTAAATTTGCCATTATAGCTTACTAATTAAGACTTCAACTTCTCTTGCATCAGATCATCATCACTATTATTAAACAAAATGAAATTAATAGCAGAAATAATAGAAAGTTCTCCAAGTGAAAAGGTTGCTGCTTTTTTTATAAATAAAAAAGAAGAAACAAATTTACTAAATTCTTCATTAGAAAAATTTTTTGGAAGTTCTCTGCACAAGTTTAGATGAGGAGGCAAGCTTTTAATGAACTTTTTGTTGAACAATAATAATAGTGATGTTAATCTTGAAGTAAATCTATCTTTTATTTTGATTATCTTAATACTAAAATTTAAATTGCATTACAGGTTGGTTAGCACAGGGTTGTGAAATTTCACTGTATGAGAAGAATCTTTGTATGTACGTATGACTGACTTTGTACCTATAGATGCTGGTTGCAATTCTTGGTGATGGTTGCAACCATATTTGCGACATATACAAATGGTTTGTGACACCTGGTTTCAACCACCTTTGTGATCACTTTGGTTTCCTTTTTTGGATTGTGACATGGAACACTATTTGTACCATTAAGTTTGTACATTTTCATTGTGGTTGTGCACCCATATGAGGAAATTTTATGTATGATCTATCAGTAATGATTATTTTCTGTAGTGATAAAATATTACACTGTAAAATCCTATTAACAATTAATGGATTACTTTACCAGATGTTGTAATGGGGTTCGTAATACTACTTGATTATCAAACTGATTATTGTATTCTGTGGTATGTTATTATTATTATTATTATTATTATAGTAACTGTATAAGTATGTTCCACAATTTCTATATTATTATTAATAAGAATAATAATAATGAGTATATATAATGAATAAAAAAATTACCCCTACATTCTTTAATTATTATTAATTATTGAAAACATATTAATATCCATATTTTTCAAGTGTATACAGTCATTAATTCCACAATTCTTTTATTCCAATGGTTAAAGCTTTGAAATATTACATTGTTGAAACAAAACAAAAAAGTGGTTCTAGTAACAAATTATGTTACTGCAAAGCCTGCTTTATTAAACTTGGTGAAAACAGCAATGAATTAAAAACAAGAGTAGATAAAACTGAACGTATAATTCAACATTTTAATGATTGTCAAAATTTTCATGTTATGTATAGCCAAGAAGAAAAACTTAAAATACTAGCTCTTGGTAATAATAATGATAATAGTAACAATACAATAAAAAGAAAAAGTAAATTTTTTTTTAAATTAAATTAATTTAATTAACAATTTATTTAATCAATAATTTATTTAATTTAATTAACAATTTATTTAAGGGTAATTATTACATGAATTAATTTTCAATTTATGAATTTTTTTTTGATGATATATATATAATGTGTATTACATTTGATTAACCAATAAAAATTGTCATAAATCACATGATATGTTTGTACAATGTGCTAAAAAATTTTCAGCTTGTATGTATGTACTTGTATGATACCAGCCAAATGATATGTCACATGAGGTGTAATTACTATACATGAAGTTGAAACCATTTCGATCATTTGCAGATCTGGTCAAAATAGGGTCGAAATAAGGTCAAAACTGATTTTTACTATCTAGTTGCCTCAAGTCAAAACATTTCAACTTTGGGGTTTTAATTTTGACTTCATGTATAGTAATTACATATTAATATATAAAATAGAAAATCTGACTTGTGTAACAAATCAGTTTTTTAAAATATCTCATTATTTTTATAACAAATTCAAACA